AAGGATGTCATATAGGTTTGGAACAACATGCGGGTGAGAAAAGAAAGACTTTTAGGTGAACTGTCTCTTTAAAGAGCATATTGCAGGTAAAAAAAAAACTAAATTAATATCTAACCTTGTATGAAAATACCATATGAAAAGGTAATGCAGGATTTAAAATGTTTTAAAACGACATAAGGGCACACATTTAGTAGATAAAGTGAGCGTTTCTTTGACTGCTCGTAAAAAACGTTTTTTTTTTTTCAGCATCGCGTCATTTTACGTCACCAGAGGGAGGGAGCCTCAGTAGCGCAGATAGGTTTATATTCAGTACGAGCGGGTAAATTTGCTTTTTTATACTCAGAATGACAATTTGGAATGTAAAGAACAACATATACAGTTATTTGTTTTATTAGGAAAATACCATATACATAAAAAGAATTGGGCTTTTTTTCACGTTTTATAAATGACTTCACATTATATGTACATCTTTTGGAACAAACAAACTAAAAACAAAAAAGCAATGAAAACATGTAATGCTTTGAAAGCACAGGCTTTTATGTAAAACTTTTTTTTGTATTTTTTATTTCCTGGCAGCTAATGTTAATGTGATATTGTGAATATGTAAAACCTCTTGTTCTTGTGGCATCGAATTTAAAAAAAAGTCAGTAGGGCGGTCGTGAATCAGTGTTTTCGGTAGTTTTTATATTTTAATTTATCATCGTCATCATTGTAAATTATTGTGTTTGTGGAGGTTGCAAAAACTCCGGCCTGTCAGGACATCGAGTCAGGTTTCCTAACAAGAAAAGGGACGGTGCTGTCTATCGTGCCTGTGTGCGGTGTGTGCAGCTGTAGAGACAGGATTTCTCTTCCGCATCGGCTTCCAAAAACGCGATCGTGTGTAGCGTACACCAGATCTGAGGAACAAAAACGTGTATATCAGGAATAAAAATATCTATCTGTCTCTCGATGAGAAGTTATATTACGTAACGTTAGTCTGGACGGATATTAATGAGCATGACATACGCGCCTGATCAAAGCTTATATAGCCCTCTGGGGTTCTTCGGACCAAATGGACCCGAAGAATTTAAATAAAAAAAAGTGTAAAATCATAGCTTCATCGGAATGGTCCGAAATTTGGTGAATTTGTTGGTACTTGGTATATGAACACCCAAAAAAATTGGGGACAGGATTTGAATAGTCTAAGTGGTTGTAAAAAAAATGCCCAAATGGACCCGCCATAGGAAATGAATGGGAAATTGACAAAAATGTGACAATACAGAGTTGTTTTGTGCGTACAATCAACAAATCAGCCACGATCCAGAAAAAAAGCACACAACAGTGAAGGGGTGAATCTATAAAACATCAAGAGTGCAAAACAGACACATCCACACACACACACACACACACTTTTATACACAAACACACTAATAAATTCAGATTACATAAATATGTTTTGAATTTTTAAAAATCACAGCTTCATCAGAATGTTACGAAACTAGGTGACTTTTATGGTATTAGGTATGTGAACAAACAAAAAATATTGAGGTCATGATCCAAGCATGCTAAGTGGTCGTCACACTTCTGCTCTTTGGTCAAAAATGACCCCCATAGGAAATGAATGGGAAATTGTCAGAGTTTTTTTTTTTTGCATACAATCTACAAATCAGCCAGGATGCAGAAAAAAGGACTCAACAGTGAAGGGGTGAATCTCTAAAACATCAAGAGTGCAAAACAGACACACACACATACACACACACACACTCACACACACACACAAATGAAAGCTAATTTTGGGAAATGTCTGAAATAAAAGCAATTATTCATCAATGTAAGACATAAAGTGCACAGCAATGAAAGCATGAGTCTGTAAGCCATCAAGGTTGTAAAATAGACAAACTCACACACACAAACAGACATAGGGTAATGTGAAACTGTAACAGAGAAATGTGAAAATATGTGAAATCAAATCAATGAATCAAATAAGTTAGAATTAAGTTAGAATTAAACATTGGGTAACAAAATGCTTTCCATTTGTTCTCTTTCTAATGCAATGTTCAGGTTTGACTGTATTATAAAGTAAAACTGGCAGTTCAAATTACCATTTAAACCAAACAAACAAACAAAAAAAAGACAAAAAATAGTCTTTGAGAATCTGTTATTATATTTTAAAATCAACAACCTGAAAAAAATTGTCAAAGATGTGGAAAACTCACAAGAATTCTGAACCCTTTCTACAGAGAGCTGTAAATCCACTAGTGGTAAAAATGTGCTATTGCGTGATAAAAATGCTCAGTGTGTCCAGCAGATGGCATCCATCTCATTTCAAAAATTGTTTTCATGAGGCCTAGGCTTGACTCTAAAATGAAATACAGCTTTAAAAAAAAAAAAAAAAAAAAATACATATTTATAAAAAAATTATATTATATTCAATGGGAAAAAATGGGTCATAATTATTGCATAAATATTAATTATAAATCATAAAATTTTCTCAAAACACCAAAAAATAAAAGAAATTTTTTTATAAAAAACAAGTAAAAAAAATATATATGATTTTCTTTTAATAAATATGAATCAAACCCTTCCGGACCATTTGGTCCCGAAGACCCTGAGTGTGACCCTGAAATGAAGGACCCCAGAGGGATAGTTTATTCTGTTATTGGTAAAATCCAATACTCCTAGATGACCAATAATAGCTTTGCTATTACGTAACTGATACGATGGTAATAATCGATATACACCTCACATTTTACCAAACAGAATGAACGATGCACTGTTAACTCTATTACACTATTAATTAAAACTCACAGTGAACAGCATTAAATATAAAAACACATATGCCTTACCTTTTTGTTGCAGTGCAGTTTTTATTGCAGTGGTATAATGTTTTGCCGACAGCACTACAGTCCTCATTTTTTTATTGCTGCTTCCATTCTCCTGATTGCTATTATTTAATTTCTTCTTAAAAAAACATCCAGGGAAGATTGAATAGGCCTGTTCTTTTAATGTTTACTCAGTATCTGACAGCTAGGCTAATCAAAAATATGCGCATTAAGTGATGCAATAAACTACGGCTGCGCACACTCACTCCACACAAGTTTTTTTATAATAGGCCTAATACTTTTGCAATAATGTGTGTCTCCTCTGACCGTTGTTCTGTCTAACATTTGATCCTGGCCTGTCCCTGCTCTCTCGGCAGCATAGCAGGCTCATAATTGTAAGGCTGTCGTCCGTGGTCTGTCATACGAGTAAGTCCGAAATGTCATTGCGATCCATTGTTTTCCTGTTGTTTGAATGGTTTGAATCGACCGCTCTCCCGCCCGTTACGTCACGCCCATTTTCAGATGCGGAAGTAAAATTCTCTCACAAAAACGACTCCAGAAGCCAATGTAACGTATTTATAAGTATATTTTAAAGAAAATCTAATTACTACATTGTTTTTCTATACATTTACTTGTTGGGTCCTCTAACCTGCAATATGCCCTTTAAGGAAAAGCCCTGAATAATTTGACTGGTTTCAGGTTCACCTGACCCAGATTGGACACGTTTCTAAGAGGTTTTTAAGATGTGTTCTTGTGTTCAGAGCGCAATTTGTGACGCATTTTTTTTTACTATTTAAACTTGACACACCCAAAAAAAAAAATTTGTGTGAGACATGATGCAACAGCCAAAGATGTCTGTTTAAAGTTGTATGGCTGTGAACGCAGTGTTTTTAATGTGATAAATTTAGGAGACGCACCTTTTCCTAAGAGGATTTTATAGTGCAAACTGTAAAAGCTAACGCACACAACACTGTCAGCATGCTAATTAAAGCACCACCACTAAAATATTAAACAAAAAAAATACATACGAAAAAAGAAAGAAAGAAATGAGTCAACCATCATGTCCTATTCCTAGCAGGCAAACATAAAAACATGCCTCTAGTTCTCAGACTCTTCAACAAACACCTACTACCTTATTCGCAGTTGTCTCAGGGGATGACAACACTGGTAAGTGAAGCTGATGCAATGATGTCACACATGCAGCAAGTCTGTGTCCATGTGCGCGCGTGTTTCTCTCACCCCACAGTGAGATGTATTCTCAACAGGTCTGGATGACATGTGTCACATTCTGAGTGCCCCCTCCTTCATATGTTTTTCTCTCCTTTCAGGCTCAAATGTTCTATTAGGGGTAAAAGCGTATGTGGGTGTGTGTTCGACATAGTTGCCCTGAATCCAACGTGGCACTAAATCAAACATTGGACACCACTTGTCATTTAAAAGTGTGATTTCGGCAATCCTATAAGATCAGTGTATGACTAACATGGACCATCATGTTTTGCACAAGCTTGTGGAGTTCGTGGCAACTGGAGCGCAAGAGGAAACATTTAAAATACTAAGAAATTCAGAAATTTCTATCAGTTTATCCCACGCTATCATTTGCCATAATTGCAATTGTGACGCAAAATATGTTGCTCTCGGTTCATCTGAGTTTCCTGCAGGTTACTCCAGGAGATGTCTGTCTGGACTGGCAGCATGACAACAATGTGTCATTGTCAAACCATTCACAATGGTTGTGTAAGGCCGTGCTGACTACTGTCAGACCTCCTTGGGAGTTTTGTGCTTTGAATGTCGTCGCAATTGCCAGCAAAACTCAGAAGCACACAACTCTCAATGGAAACACCCTCAATGCACCCCGCTATGTTTATTTTTGTGCATCTGGAATACTTTTGTGCAACTGGGCAACAATGACTCACTGGCTTTTTGCGTAAATGGAGCAGTTTGGAAAAATTGAGAGAACAAATTAATTGACATTTGCTATCACTGCATCCCCAAGCCCTGTGCTGAAAGCATCGGATCAATGCTTGCAAATGTCCCCGGGGAGAAGTACCATGAAACGGCTCAAAGCTTGATCTTAAAAGGCTGGGTTATCGACTGATTTCTGTTCCAAAGGCTTTAACTCTCTGTCTAAAACATACAGCTTTAGCTTTGGCATGGTGGTCCTCTTAAAGAGGTGAGGCGAAAGGCTGGAAGCGGACTTACCCCCGGCAGTGTCTTCTGTTCGTGGAGAGCGTTCTGGGCTTTGATGGCCGACTCACGGGCGCAGTAGGTGAGGAACGCGCAGCCTGTGTGACAAAAAGGAAAAGAGACTTTCAATGACTTGGATAGACAGTGGTCTTGAACTCTATACTGCCTGGTATCAGCGGGTGGCCAAAGTCATTTGAAGTAACCAAACAGTCTCATTAGGACAAAAACATCAGCATGACATTTACATTTATTCATTTAGAGCAGATTTTAAATTACAAATGAGTATACTATAAGTAGAAGCAATGGAGTGAGGAAGAAAACAATACAAATGCTGCTGGTTTGCTGTTCTTGGCTGGCTTAAGACAATCTCCCAGCCTGACCAACTAAAAAGTGTCCAAAAATCTTTTAAAACCAGCCAACAGACCAGGCTGGAAGACCAAATGAGACAAGCTTAGGCTGTTTAAGATGGCTTGTCCAGCAGGAACCTTACCAAATTAGAGCAGAGGTTTAAGTGCAGAAAAGTATCATTCACTACAAGAGTAATGTTAGTCACACATTCCACAGGTTCTTGTTTTCTCTCGAGTTTTACACAACTACCTTATTTCCCAGAAAACAAGTCGCAACTCATAAGTCGGGTCAAAATTGCATCGTTGAGAGAGAAATAAATACACAGATAAGTAGCATCAGTCAAATGTTATTATAGTGGCATTCGTTATAAACAAGATTCATTATAAATGCTAAGCATAAATGAATTAAAGTGAAACTGAAACTACGGACATGTGGGAAATGAGCTATACAAATAAAAACCGTGCTCACTTCTCTCATTCGGCACAAATCCAAAATTACGCAAGCTGCGTTGAGTGCTTGACATTAATAGCATTATAATTTGGGTAACACTTTATTTTACAGTGTCCTTGTTACATATGTTACATGTACTTACCATAGTAATAACAGTAAATTATGCATAATTACATGCAACTAACCCTAAACCAAATCCTAATCCTACCCTAACCCTATAGTAAGTACATGTAGTTAATTAATATTACTCGGTACTTCAATATATAATTACACTGTAACAATGACACCTTAAAATAAAGTGTAACCATAATTTGCTTTGGAATATAAACCGCAGCAATGTTTCAGATTATAAATAAAAACGTGACCGGAAAATATAGTAATAGCTTGTTTTCATATGACGTCACGCCACTGCGTTGCCATGGCGCGAAATGCAAATGGAGGGCAGGAAGTGATTTGCTGTAATTAGAAAGCACTATAACAAACTCAAAATGCCTATGTTTTGCGTCGTTTATGGTTACTTAAATCGATCAAACCACGAGGAGTTTTTATCGTGTACCAAAAGTTGTTGTTCATAAAGGGGGAAAATGCAAGAAATTGACCGAAAAACTCCGGAAAAACGGCTTGCAAACCTAAGTCTGCGGTCGGGAGGAGCCGAATGGGAAAATGCCCGTTTGTGCAGTGATCACTTCGTCAATGGTGAGTTAATACAACTTAAGTGGCTATGTTTGTGTAACGTGTAACATTTACGAACTTTGTAAAGTCAAAGTATGTCTGTAAGACGAGGTAGTTGCTGATATCTACCACCTCGATGGCAGGAAAATCTTTCAATTCAGTTGAAAATCGCTCCTCTTCATAACGTAAGGATCACGTCCAACATATGTTTGATTTTTTGTTTATATCTTTCTCTTGTAATAGCGTGTAAAGTAGTACAGTACGGACTTTCCTCCATCTCGTCCATTGCGCTCTTCACTCCCCTGCCCTCCATCTGAATTTCGCGCGTCATCATAATCACGTGACTGAAACCCAGCTATTGGAAAGTAGTGTCAATTACAAGGTGGCATTACTACAATCCCAAAATGGCATTAACTATCCAATTAGCTAATATAAGGACAATGAGTTTCAGTCTTGACTTTAGTTCAACTGCTTGAAGGAGGGGTTTATGTCTACTGTTTTATAAGATCATAATGTATTCTACTATTCAGAAGAAGGTTGGTCGGTTCCACCAAAGAGGAACAGTGAAAGTGAAGGTTTCTGAAAGCTATTCACTGACCAACACTGAGCAGGGAAGGAACATACATCTGGGGAAATAAGTTCAGGTAAGAGGCCCAAGATGTTTGCTTTGAATCAGACAGACTGGTTTAATTCGAGCAAAGCAAAAAGCATTCAAGATTAATTTCATTCAAGATTCAAGTCTAGCCACAACATTGTGTTCCCATCGAGTATCACTGATCGCCAGCACAGGAAAACGAGCCAGAACAAAGCCTCCGCGTCCCTTACAATGACAGGGCCAGAGGTGCTGTGAGGAGTCCCTGCAGACAGGCTAAATACAGATAGTCTATTTTCTAACATGGGGGAGCCTGTCCAGTCCGCTTTACACTGGATGTGCCCGTGTGCGTTTATCCGTATGTGTGCTTGTGTGTGTGTGTTTGAGCAAGTCCATAGATCAGCCAGCAGTCCCTGTCCGAGGATCACGGCTGGCTGGAATAAGCCCCGACTACCCTTGACACCCTGACAGAGAGGCGAACAGTGCTGGAGAACTAGTAAGAGAAACTTGAGTCTCTCGGGTTCCTAGACAGAGATGTGAATTCATGCACATATACACACCCGATTATATAACCCTTCTGCCGAAAGTATCGCAGAAAAGGAGACTTTGCAGGAAAAAGATCCCTGAGCCCATTCGTTTTTTGAGACGTTAACAGTGCTAACTGGTAGATGTATTTACAGTAAAGCAACTCTCAGATTTGCACGATAACCGACTCACTGCGATGCGGGGATCACACTTTTGTATGTGAAAGTAACTACTAAGCAGTCAGTCATATCGCTGTCTCTTCCTTCTGTCACCTTTTCTCTCTTAACCCATGTTCAACTGCACAGAAATAAACACTGTGTATTTATTCCTTAAAGGTGAAGTTTATAACGTAACCAACGTCACCAAACAGAATTACTACAATTTTCATTGTTTTCAAACAAGATTCCAAACATGTTTCCACTGTCCATCTGCTATTGGTCAAACAAATAGATAGTCCAACCCCAAACTCACACCACTGGTCAAGCTCAAACAAACAATCCACAATATTAACACTTTAAGAGTTTTATAGTAGCTTATTGTAAAACTCAGTGAACTTTTGTTCCTTGACTACAGATTTTAGAGTATATCTTCCATTTAATTCGATGCAAACACAAAAATGGTGGTGGAGAACGCGGGCAGTTTGGTATGTCATATTTTCTTGGTAGGCCACCTGTATTTTTCATAAATCATGTGTTTCAGAGTTTTCAATGTTTTGTCAGCTGTATGATCATCAACCAAGAACATAACGCTACAAAATGTTTGTATGGATTGGAGTTCAGCCAGACTTGTTTATTTGCGTCATACTAAATGAGCCATCTATTGTCACTAAGGTCAATAGAAGCCAATTTAACTCAAAAGACAGCAGATAATAATGAATAAATGCTAATAATTAATCAAAACCCACTATATGAGTACTTGAAGTGACTAAGGGTCATGAACAGGTAATGTTCATGTCTTCATGAAAACATTATCTTCACAGAAAGACTTGGACAAACAAACAAGTCAGTCACTTGTGTTCTTTTATATTTATTATTGCATCAGTCCCACTAACCCTGCATTGCTTTCAAATACATCAAAGCTTTATTATGTCTCAAATTCTCCCAACCAAGGTTCTTTTCAATTTGTGGCGAACTTTATCTTGCAAATGCTCAAAAACCAAATTGTATATATTCCCAAGGCATTCACAAAGAATATCCAGAGTAAATTAGTTGCCCCACTAATATAAGCAAAGGAATAGTGTGTGTGTCCATTAGAGAGAGAGAGAAAGTGACAGTAAAACAGATAGCAAGAGAAGCATTTTAATTCTAATCCCTTCACTTTAATGCATAGTGTTATTGCAGCCCATAGGCACCAATTGGAATCCAAACACGTACAAATTACTGCCCTGCTGTTGCATACCAGGCGCGCAATTTTGGGCTGCATGATGAAATTATTTGAAACTCGACATAAAAGTATCAGCCATGGAAATGGCTGACGCAGCTCCCTAAGGACAGAGTGTGGAAATGATCTACCGCATTGTTTGATAAAAATCTCTATTGTTTGATCAAATACGATTTTAAAATTAACAAAGGAAGCTGACAGTTAGTAGGTAATGGATTTTACTTTAAATTTTGAGCTCATATAATCCTTTTTCTATATGTAGCTGAAAGGTTCCTGATAAAAACACTTCACTGAATGGGAATATTAATAGAGGGTGGTTCAAAAACCTGACAAAACTTTGAAAATCGGGGATTTTTCCCCCCCATTTAAACCTTGAAAATGAAGATAAAATATTCTGCACTATTTCTAGTTCATTAATCAACTGTTTTTACTGTAATTACATTTCTTAATGTGTTATGCTGATATTTAAATTAATAAAAATTTGCACACAAAAAAAAAATTTAAATGTGAAATATATTAATTCATTAGAATTAAAATGAAAAATGTAATGCTTAAAATAAATTAAAATTAAAAGCATTGTCACTAATGGTCTCATACTTTGGTATGTTTTTTTTAAATCATTTCTCCTGAATCACCCAAACAAAAAAGTCAAAAGTAGCTACTGGCAGCAAAAATGTGCCTCTCTATTCCGGGATAAAAATGACATCTAACCCCCGTGCTAATAAGCAATCACACAGACAGAGGCCCATGAGGCCTGCAGGTCTGAGGAATGGCGTAGACTAGAGCTTCATGGGGAGGTAGAGAGGCTTAGCAGTAATTAAGCAAGCTGAATTGAAGGTGCCGCTCCCTCCCTCTGCTCCTGACAGGCCCCATTTGCTGTTTTTTTTATAGTAAAAGCCGAGCCATCACACCACTCTTCCTGCCCCCCTTCATAAATGTGTGCAAGCCCTGAACTGTGAGGTGCCTGTTAAGTGCGAAGGTCTTGGTGCTAAATCTGCTTCCGTGCCCCCATTCTCCACGTTCTCGCCTGAGCACTTTGCAACTTCGCAAACACTCCCGTCACTCACACCTCCTACTCGTTCCCGACACGTTCAAGTTTAGCTCTGAGAACAAAGGACTGAACTTAAAACT